GAGAGGAGTCGCATTTGGGCTGAGAAAAATTTGTTTTGATAGTTGATTTTTCTCGCTTCGCGGACGTTGTAAAAGGGGGGAGGGGTCGCATTTGCTCATTGTTGGGAGGGGAAGGGTCTATTTACTTTCTGGCCTTTCTAGTAGGAGTGGTGGTCGACTTTTTGTGATTTTTGATTTTCCTGTTTAATGCGTACTATATTCTCCCCTCCCCGCCCGCCGCCCCCCGCTCGCTTGACGGCTCATTCGATGGGGAGGGACAGAGGCGGAATCTCTCTCTGGGGTGTACGGACTCGACTAAACTCCCCAACCAATGATGTGCCCTGTCCCAACCAAGTTAGGCCGCGTTCATACCTTGCGTTAAAGAAGAAATGACGAGTTGCAGAATTGACGGAAAGGATTAGATATGTATCGATCCGAAGAATTGGCGGATTGTAGGACTGAAGAATCGAAGAATTGCAGAATTTACAAACTGTGGAAATAGAATGGTAGGGACCTAGTCCTTCTCGCCCTTTTCGCATGATCTGCAACTCGTGATTTATTCGATTCGTCAATTCATCGCAAGGTGAGAAGGCAGCCTCAGCAAGCTTGAACTCGAAGATCCATTGACTTGTTGAAGAATTTTAGTAGGTGTTTACACATATCGTTATTTGTTAACATAAACTACATTGACCCTGAAAGTGTTTTCGAAGGCAATTGTTTTTGACGTCAGCTTTGTATCGATTAACTTCCTTCCAAAGCAAGCTAGCTTGGCGCACAATAGACTGAGTAATTCCGAATAATGAGACGAATATGCAACGGAGGTTGATGGAATGTTTTGTTGGCGGGGAACAGGTTTTTCTGTAGATTGATTTGGCAATACGCCATCTAATCACGTGCATTACCTCGTGTGCGGTCCATTTACTATCGGCATTGTTCGGCGTACGATAGTGTTTTTACAGTTGCGTGCGTCAATATTTGATTTCATCAGATATTTCAGATCAGTCTTCTATGCTTGCCAATGAAGATTGACATGATGATCGACATTGTCGATCCGCGACAATTTCGCTCTTTTTGTCTTCGTGGAGAGGGACGAGCAAATTTTGTCATTAGTGCTAAGCACGCTACCTCTGGAATACGGTAAGTATTTATGGTCTCATTATACCCAGCTTCTTATTTTTATTCGAATCTTGATCAATTTCCTTTATGGTTCGTTCGCAATCGGTTACAACGGGATTTATGCAGCTCTGCTGTAATACTCCTCTTTGGCTTCGTGAACCTTGACTTAGCTTTCTAATAGGGCCCTTAACACATTCGAAGGCGCGCGACTCCTACTACGAGTGCACGCATTTTTTTCGCGCACATTTTTCTGCGATTTGCGACTTTTTCTTTGCAATTTGTTGGCTGTTAATAGAAATAACGCACTAATACGAAGAAAAAAAATCAAAGAAGCGACAAAGGAAAGCTCTCGACGGGAGTCTCCGTCGCGAGTGTGCTAAATGCAGCCTGCGCTTAACCAACTCGTAGGCGTCCTTAGTTATACAAGTAGTGTAGACCTCAGTCTCTTTGACTGTCCCACTTTCGGGCTCCCCAGTCGCGGCCGCGGCCTTCGTAAGTAGCAGTACTGACGCCTCCCTAGTTGTCCCGCCCACAACTCGACAGCTTTTCCCTGTCATAAGTTGGGTTTTTACCCAGTGTTTTTTCGTTTTTATACTGTTAGATAGTACAAGCATTGGATGACGCGAAGAAACGTCTGTTGGCTAAAGGTGGCAGGATATCTCTTTACTGGCATAAAACAAGTAGGTCCGGACAACTCACACGTGAGGCTGGAACGGGATCCTTTAGAGTTTTTGGC